TTAAAGAGAACAATAATAGATTCATCTGCGCGTTGGCAGCACTCCTCGTGAAGTTTGGGATTTTCAAAGAGATAGAAATCGGCTTTATGATAGTTGGTCACGCTCACACTGACGTCGATGCCACTTTCAGTGTTTTCTCCAAGAAACTCAAAGACAACGACGCGTACACAATGGACGAGCTTTTCGATTTGTTAGAATGGTCTCATAAGACACCTCCGCGGTGCATTTTCCTTGATAGGATGGCGGACTTGAGAGGTCTTGTTTCCCCGCATGTCGAAAAGCGCATGAGAGGAATTTCTAAGCCTCATTTGCTAAAATTCTACATGATAGGTGATAATCCCGTCATGTCCTACAAAGAGTATTGCACAGATGCGAAGTGGTTGCTCGAGGATGGTCCTCTATATTGGTTCAAACAAAGAGACGATGGCGGTTACGCAGGTCCACAACAACCTTTCAACCCTCTGCCGGTAGCCGGAACTCCTGGACGATTACAAAAATGGTTTGGAGGGTGTGCAGAGGTTCTTGGACGTTTATGAAAAGAAAAGAGAAGTTTGGATGACATTCCAAGACAAAGAGGTGACTCGAATAGATAGGGTTTTTTTGTATTGGGAAGATCACGTCAAACACGCAGGGGACATTATCGACAATGGAGTGCCTTGAACACCTATTATGAACTTTTGACCAAAGGCCTTCCACGTTGTTGAAGATGAGAGTTCTTGCACTGATCCGGATGCATCCGACTCGCAGAGGGAATCTCTGTTCGTAGGTCTTCAAAAGGACAAGCCTAAGGCTAGCTTTGATCCTTTCGAAGACGTACATGTGGACAGTTTCGTCATTATGCAACCATCAGATGAGGAAGGTGTCCCGTTCTGGGTTGGCCAGGTTCGCCGTGCTGCTGACAAGGACAAACGTTCGCCGAATTTCAACCAATTCCAAGTGGAGTACTGGGTTCCGGTTGGGAAAGCAAACACACTAAAAGAACTGTGCACCAACGCATGGGAGAAAAAATGAAAAAAAGCTCTGGGGCACAACGAACAGTATCAACATGTGACAACCGTTGCATTTTTGTGGACGAGACAGACAAGGACGACTGGTTGCGATTCTACGAAGAAATTCACCAGTGGTCTAGTTATTCCTATGAAAGTGTGGAGGAATGCAACTCCTGCCCTCAATAACGAAAGCAGTGCTTAAATACGAAGCGTTTCCGGAGACGAGAGCGGCCCGGAGGGTTCCACTTCACACGTGTGATGCTTGTCATCTTCTCAATGGGGGGCACAAATTGGTGTACTAGACTGTGCACCACATTGTTGACTCGATGTAATGAATTGTGTTGTGCGTGGTTGTTGGTGTGTACACATTGGGGTTTGATTCCCGTGAGGCCACTGTTCTTTCTTCTGTGTGCAGGATGCCGTGTGCTAGGGTGAGCGGCATTTTGCTTTTGTTGTCGGCTTTTATTTTGCACATCGCAACGTGTTTAGAAGGAGAACTGTTCCTTGTCTGCGGCAACAGAGGGAATGATGATATTTCGCTGAGGTGGGGAGACCGTTATCCGTTTCAGTTAAATAATTGGAGCGGATTGCATCGAACTTTAAGGGATTTCCTTCACAACGATTTTCCGTGTGTCGAACTGGATGTTCTGGCTGCAATTCATAAGCCGCAGCCTTTGGGATCAGCATGAAGTTTACGATTGCAACAACAAAGAGCGCGAGAGACTATTCGACGACTACGTCTGCCATGGCATTTGGATAGGCTTTTGTGTACGCCTTGCGTTAGATCCTTAACATCACCTAGAGATTTGATTAGCTTCTACGGCTTGAATGAGCTTCTGTGGATCCCGTGCAACTTGTACATCTGCAATGAGCTTTTGCGTACAACATGTTCGGCTTTGCTGTAGGACGTGCTTTTGTGGGGATTAGTTTCGTTGTGTCCCTGTGGTACACATATATTTTATCTACCTAAGTGCATAGGTTTCACTGCATGATCCGATATTCAGGGATATTGTTGTGATAGGTTATTATAGTTTGTGCTTCATCAACATTTACGAAGATTTTCAACGAGTATCTGTAGATTTCTTATATCTTTTCGTTTGGCCATGTCAAGTGGTTACGTATTGGACGTAAGTGTTATTTTTGAGCTCTTCTTTGTAAGCTGTTGTGCAACATGTTCTATTAAACACAATGTTCGATTTGAATATCTAACTTCTCAAGTTCTATTGCTTTCTCTAAACATGACATGAGTCCACATGTATTTCTCATCATGAATGTTTCCCTCTGTGTCTGTCGTGGTTCGCATCACCCTTTTGCACTTTCGCTGGTCGAATCGATGGATATCTCGTGAGATTCTATCAATATTAGTTACTGCAGTTTGTAAGGGGTTGCCAAGGGCACACTTCTATTTGTAATCAAACATCATTTGATCTCGGCGAGGGCAGTGACGAAGTGGTGGGCAGCATTGGTAGGGATGTTAAAAGTTGTCGGTTGCGGGGTCGAAACCGGCAAGTGGCAAATGATAACATCTTTACCTAATGCTGCTCACCGCTTCACTTCGTCTGACGCCCTTTTGTTAAACTTTTAAGAAATGTTTGGTAAGCTATTGTTCTTGGAATGATAACATATTGGATGATTTTTCCACCAAACCTTAGGGTAATTCGAATGTGTGCAAGGTTGACGCATCGTACAATGTTGAGTATAAATCACTATCTGATTCAGAATTAAAATTAATGTATTACAGCCATCATTGTATGGATAAATCCTCAAGACATTTGATTCCATTCGAAAATGTTGTTCTGTGGAATTTGGTATTATACTGAAGTCGGATACATCCTTCTTCTGACAGTCACCGTGAATATTGCATATCGGAGGTTCAAGCCCTCCCTCTCAAGTTGAACTTCCCTTTGGAAGAGACACGAAATAGATCATTGCGGAGGCTCCAAGGGACGCTTGCTTTCGAAAATGTTGTTCTGAATCTGTAGAAGATCAAATACCGAAGTTGAGTACATCCTAATTCGAACAGTCACAGTTGATTGAAGGAAAGGAGAATACATCGTAATCAAATCTTTGTTATTCACATGCAGAAACTCCATTATGTATACAAGTTGGCAAGTTTGATAAGATCCTCAGACACATACTAGTACGTATGAAAATGTACTGTTTTAAAAATAATGTACTATTTTAACGAATAACATGTTTTGATTGATTGATTGATTGATTGATTG